AGGACTGAGGATGTAGTTCAGTGGTAAAGTACCCCTGGGTTCAATCCTCAGTACAGAGAAAATAAAAAGTTATGTTTATATTGTAAGTGTGCAATAGCATTTTATCTTTTTTAAAATGTACATACCTTAATTTAAAAATACATTATTGCTAAAAAAAAAAAAATTACCAGCAATCATCTGAGCATTCAACCAATTTAATCTTTTTGCTGGTGGAAGATCTCAGAGTTGATGACTGCTGATTAATCAGGGCGATGGTTGCTAAATGGAATAGTTGTGTCAATTTCTTAAAATAAGACATCAATGAATTTTGCCACATCAATTGACGCTTCCTTTCACCAAAGATTTCTCTAAAGCATGAAATGTTTAATAGCACCACAGTAGAACGTCTTTCCTCAAACCCTGCCACTACTGTAAAAACTAAATTTATGTAATATTCTAATTCCTTAGTTGTCATTTCAATAATGTTCACATCTTCTGTACCAGGAGTAAATTTCATCTCAAGAGACCACTTTTTGCTTATCCATAAGAAAAAATTTCTCCTCTTTTAAAGTTTTATTGTAGCCAGGCACAGTGGTGCATTCCTGTAATCCCAGCAATTCAGGAGGCTGAGGCAGGAGGATCACAGGTATAAGACCACCTCAGCACTGTAGCAAGTATCTGTCCCAAATTAAAAAAAAAAAAGTGCTAGGAATGTAGCTCAGTGGTAAAGTGTCCCTGAATTCAATTCCCAGCTCCAAAGAAAACATTAAAGTTTTATCATAGAATTATAGTAGTTCAACCATATTTTCAGGCTCCACTTCTAATTCTATTTCTCTTGCTATTTCTACTACATCTCTAAGTCACTTCTTCCAGTGAAGTCTTGAACTCTTCAAAGTCATTTATAAAGGTTGGAGTCTACTCCTTCCAAGTTAAGGTTGATATTTGGACCTCCCAAGAATCAGGAATGTCCTTTATTTTCTTTTTCTAGCCCTGAGTTTTGGATCAGGGCTTTGCATGTGCTAACCAAGTGCTCTTCTATTGAGCTTCATCCCCAATCCTTTTTATTTTATTTTGAGTTAGGGTCTTACTAAGTTACCCAGGCTGGTCTCAAACTTGCAATCCTCTAACCTCAGTCTCCTACTTGGGATTTTAGGCATGTGCCACCATGCCCAACGTGGATGTTCTTAATGGCAACTAGAATGATTAATCTTTTCCAGAAGGTTTTCAATTTATTTTGCCCAGATCTTCAGAGAAATCTCTGACAACCGTAGTCTTACAAAATGCATTTCTTAAGTAGTAAGACTTAGCACATGAAATACTCTGATCCATGGCCTGCAGAATGAACATGAAAACAACAATAATTCTGTACATCTCCAACAGAGCTCTTGGGTGATCAGGTACTTTGGAAAGGGCCTTTTAAATTTTTTTTTAATCTCCTCCTTCCTTCCTGGAAAAGTGTTTTGTTGGCTGGTTGGTTGGTTGGTTGGTTGATATTGGAAGATGGGTGTGTGTGTAAATGTATATGGTATTGTTTTTTTGCCATAAGTCTCAACAGTGGGCTTAAAATTTTCAGTAAACAAGGTTGTAAATGGATGGTTATCATCTAGACTGTATTATTCTATTAATAGTAACCAGGCAGAGTAGACTTAGTCTAATTCTTAAGGTCACTAGGATTCTCAGAATGACAGTTGAGTATTGGCTGCAACTTAAATTAATCAGCTGCATTAACCCCTAACAAGTGAGCCAGCTTGTGCTTTGAAGCCTTGAAGAAAGGCATTGACTTCTCTTTAGCTATAAAAGTCCTAAATGGCACCTTCCAAGGTAAAGGCTGTGTTGTTTACATTGAGAATCTTTCATTTAGTGTAATTCCCTTCAGCTATGATCTTAGCTAGATTTTCTGGATTACTTCCTGCAGCTTTAACATCAGCACTTGCTATTTCACTTTGCACTTTTACTTTGTGGATACAGTGTCTTTTCTTAAACCTCAGGAGCCAGCTTCTGCTAGCTTTAAACTCCCCTGCAGCTTCCTTGCCTCCCTAATACTTCAAGGAATTGGAGAGAGGGCCTTGCTCTGGATTAGGCTTTGATTTTAAGGGAGTGTTATATAGTTAGTTGATCTTCTATCCATACCATTAAACCCTTCTTCATATCTGCAATGAGGTTGTTTCACTCTTATCATTTGTATGTTCACTAGAGTAGCCCTAATAATTTCCTTCAAGAACTTTTCCTTTGCATTTCACAAGTTAGCTAACTGTATATTTCTAGTATACAACACAGGGTCTGGTTTCAAAATAGGAGCTAAAAATGATTATCGTTTTGATTAGGTATTCAATAAAAGTTTATTGTTTGAATCAATGGTACCTCATTTAGCATTTCCCCAGTATGTACACACACATGTGCATGTGTATGATACATTCATGTAACTAAGAATGGGTTTTCCACCATCCAGATCCTTCTAATTATCATAGCTGATGCTTTCATTTCTATTTAATCTTTGGCATTCTGTGGTAGTAAAGAAATCTACATTGTTTTGAAGAAAATTGTGAGTATTAATAAAGGTACAAAGAACAGTTCGGGTGTGAACTTACCAAAGTCTTAGGGCACAGGCAGACATTATTTACCTGCATTAGCCAAGTGGCTACATAAAGGGGGCTACAGTCGCCTGACAATGATGATGTTGGCACCTGTGGCTTCTCAACCCAAAGATGGCACATTCACTCATATGGGATACTGCTAGCCAGCAACCATTTCTTCACAGGGTTCTCTGTTCTACTTTGCCCTTTTTAGGAAGTCATTCGATTGAATATTAACTGTTGTTTTTTGTATGTCTTAACACTCATACAACAATCTTGATTTTGTAATCAGAAGCATCTGATGACAAAGATGGGATCAAGAAAGAAAAGCATACCACTAACATTTTAATACCTTTCCTCACTGCCCATAATTTTGCAAATATGAAAAATTATATGACCCAGTGGAATATTACATTTGGAATTACCAAAATGAAACTGTTTAAAATAAAAATGGCACTATTTACAGATCATATATATTGGTTTGGGAATAACACAAGGTGGTGCTAGTGGACCTCACATACATATTCTTCAGCAATCAACAAAGACCTGTTAAATCTGCTTATTCCAGAGTTTTATGTCTGATGAGCTATTTCAAGATTCTAGTTTTCTTAAAAATAAGAAGTAAGATCATGCAAACATGATCTTTTTGTTTTAGATAATATTATCTTTAGTATATGCATTTGAGATTTCAGTTACTAGGTAAAATAATGACGTCATGAATTTAATTTAATTATTTTTTATTAAGGAAACCCATTGAATTAATGTAATTGAAAAATAATGAGACCAATTTCAGTAAATACCTCCAAAAAATATAGTCATTGCTATATGCAAATAGGGCCTTCATATATTAAAGAAGGAAGAATAGGAGGAAGGGTAGAAGGAAAATGAGAAGGGGAAAATGTTATTTTTAAATATTTTTTGTTTTCAGTCATTCATGGAAATATTTTATCAATCTTATTTTTTTTAAAGAGAGAGGGAGAATTTTTTTTAATATTTATTTTTTAGTTTTCAGCGGACACAACATCTTTGTATGTGGTGCTGAGGATCGAACCCAGGCCGCACGCATGCCAGGCGAGCGCGCTACCACTTGAGCTATATCCCCAGCCCTATTTTATCAATCTTAAGTTACAGAGTTATAGACTATTAGGGATATAATGGAGACTACAAATGATCTAGATCAGTCTTCTCATTTTATAGGGAAATAGAACTCAAGACCACGAAAAACTAATTGACATGCCAAAGTACTTATTATTAGCTAGTAACAGAACATACAACATGACCTTTTTTCTTTTTGTTTATAGTGGTCCTGGGGATCAAATTAAGGGCCTCACACATGCTAGGAAAGCACTGTACCACTGAAATACACCTCCATCCCTTATGAGAGAAATCTTATAAAAATTTCATATATATTCACCAGAGCCCATTTGGTATTCTTTAAAAAGTACAGTAAAAAGGTAATCAGCATTGTTATCACTACTTTTTAGGCTATTTTGAAGTACTCTTCTTTGCAACCAATGGCAAAACTGTAGGGTATTTTCAAAATAGCTAGAATTGCTTTCCTTTAAAAAGGTTTTGATTTTTTTAACTGTTTGTGCTGCTAACAACAAAATATCTCTCTCCAAAGGATTGCATTCTTTGACACTAGTTCAAAAAAGCAAGATTCATAGTCATAGTCATAACTTTAGACTGTGACCAATTTAGAGTACCCAATCATGAGCCAGAATACCTTAGTTCTAAAGCAAAACTTTACCAACAGAAATATATAAGAAAGATAAGCATAGGGGTTTTATGTGCTTTTATTAATTATTCAAGGAAGCTCCCCCAAATCAATGATTCACATTATTCCTTTGATGAGCAACCAGGAGATTTTTACTCCTTGATACAGTGCACCTAAGAAGATTTCAGATAAATGAGGATATGTCTTTCTTTAATAAAGTGGGGAAAAGGAGTATAATGGAGAAGTAGGAATACAGAACATTTGCTCAAGGAAAATTAAAGTCTGTTGAAGTAAGAGAAAAATAAATAAGATGTTATGGTCAGACAGGTGACTTCTAGGCTTTCACTTAGAAGTTTGTGATGCTGGACAAGGGTAGGTTAACTCTTTGAATCTGATACTTCTTAAATGCTAGCCTAGTGCCAACCTAGCAGACAGAAGGTACCAAATAAATGGTAAATATTATTATAATCTAATAGAGACCAATGTAGAAAAGTAAAATGAATGTTCTAGCCCCACCAAATATGATCTCTTCCTCTCTCAATGAATTTTATGCATTTTTTAATATTTGTTTACTGGGTTTTAAACTCTGTGATTATGGAAACTTTGCTTGACTTACATGGACTTCCCAGCCCAAAAGACTGCTCTTGCACCTAGTGGGAAAAGGGAGACTTAGGACTGAATCAATAGTCTTCAGGCTTTTGCATTACATGAAGATAATGAGAATGAAGAAGAGCATCTGGCCTTCCTATAGGAACTGTTAAAGTAGTACATGAAATAAATCCAAGACACAAAAGCTAAGTCATTAAAAATATCTAATACATTCTGAGTGCTAAGTTAAAGGAAACATCTCATTAGAATGTCTGAAATGTGTTTTAAATTAATTCTGAGTCATATTTTGGGTGTACAATTTATGGAACAGTTAAAAACAAGTAAACAAAAAACTTTTTAAATGAATGGATAACTAGTGCAAATTTATGTGAGTGCTGGAGATTTAACTGAAAAGAACTTTACTTTCATTTTTCTTCATTGTAGAGCAGTAAATAACCAAACAGATAAGTACCAAACAGATAAGTACCAACCACATGAGTCGGTCCAAAAACGAAAATCCGTATTCAAAGACTAAATTTAAGATTTCTAACCTCTTCTTGCCAAGACATGTCCATGTTATCCAGTGTGGGGCTCACCTAATAACTATATCAGTCACAGAATTGCTAAAATATATCCCAACTCAAATTTTTTTGATAGACAGTATCTTCTCCCCCCCCAAAAAAAAAATTCTTTCCAGTAAAGTGGTCAAATTTTGGGAGACTGAATATAAGCAGAACAGACAAGGAATAGCTGCATAACCTTGAAAAGGTCCTAGTTGAGCCTCAGCCTTTTCATCATTAAAATGATATTTTTAATACAGGTTCACAATCTCTACTCTGCAATCCCAAAATAAGACAAAAACAGAAAACACTCTGAAACTCAAAAGTGTTTTGTGAGTTTGGCACCGGGACTCTTTGACAACAAAACAAACCGTGGATAAACATGAAGCCTCCATTTTCTTACTACTCATATCCATTCACCACATATACCTCTGTATTTGCTGATGTTTCGTGACTTGGAATTAATAGCATTGGAAAATGTCCAAAAGAGTTAAAGATATACCTATGGATAATGGTGAGAAGAAGAAAAGGAAGCATCTGTCTTTATCAATAGCTCAGAAAGTAGAGTTATTACAGAAGCTTGATGCTGGTGTGTCTGTAAGGTGTCTTACAGAAGAATATGGTGTGGGGACCACCACCATATATGACTTAAAGAAACAGAAAGACAAATTGCTGAAATTTTACAGTGACAGTGATAACCAAGAACTAATGAAAAACAGAAAAACATTACATAGGGCCAAAAATGAAGATCTCGACCGTGTGTTAATTGAATGGATTCGACAACAAAGAAGCAAAGATATGCCCCTGACTGGTTTATTGGTCATGAAACAAGCTAGAATATACCATGAAGAACTGAACATTGAAAGCGAGTGTGAATATTCAGAAGGGTGGCTGCAAAAATTTAAAAAGCGTCATGGAATCAAATATCTTAAAATGTGCAGTGAAAAAGCTTCTGCGGATCATGAAACAGCTGAAAATTACATTGACGAATTTGCTAAGATAATATCTGATGGAAACCTTAGCCCTGAACAAATTTACAATGCTGATGAAACAGCTCTGTACTGGTGCTATGTTCCTAGAAAAACCTTAATCATGGCCGATGAAAAGGTACCAACAGATTTCAAGGATGCCAAGCAAAGATTAACTGTTCTTGGATGTGCTAATGCTGCAGGTACACATAAGATAAAACTGGCAGTGATTGGGAAAAGCCTACCTCCAAAATGTTTAAAAGGTACAGGCAGCTTACCTGTGCATTATTATGCAAACAAAAAAGCATCAGTAACCAGAGAAATCTTTTCTGATTGGTTCAATAAGCACTTTGTGCCAGCAGCACGAGCTCATTGCAAGGAAGCCGGACTAGAAGACAATTGCAAAATTTTACTGTTCCTAGACAACTGTTCAGCACATCCCCCTCCAGAACTTCTTGTGAAAAGTAATGTTTTCAGCATCTTCCTTCCCCTGAATGTGACATCCGTAATACAGCCTTGTGACCAAGGAATTTTACGCTCCATGAAGAGCAAATATAAACACTTTTTCTTGAACAGGATGCTTGCTTCAGTGAACAGAGGCCTGAAAATCCAGGACTTCCTTAAAGAATTTAGTCTTAAGGATGCCATCTATGCAATTGCTAATGCATGGAATGATGTTGATAAGTCAACATTAACAAATGCTTGGCACAGACTTTGGGCTACAATGATGTTTGAAAATGACCTTACTGATGAGGATTTTGAAGGATTTAGAGACTCTAATGAGAAGATCATGATATCAAAACTTATTACTTATGCCAAAAGTTTATCAGCTGAAAGTGTAAATAAGCTAGAAGAAGCTGACATTGAAGAAATACTGAACATTGATAATGATGTACCCGTTGTGCATCCTTTGAGCGAGGGGGATTTTGCTGAAATGGGTGTAAATACAGATCAGTATGAAGATAGTAGCAGTCACGATGATGACATGAATACAGGTGAAAAAATCTCTATAGAACACCTGGTGAAAATGTGTGACCAGTTAATTGCTGGTCTTGAACAATGTGCATTCATCAGTGAGCAAGAGATCATGGCGATTTACTCAATTAAAGAGAAATTGCTGAGACAAAAACCTGTGTTAAGGAGGCAGATGACGCTGGAAAAGGCCTTTTAAAAAGTTCTATGTCACTTGAGAATCCTGTTTCTGGCTCATTATGTCTAGCTGCCTCCTGGTTTTATAGACAATGGTAATATTGGTGTAACTTTTTCTCCAAGATTCTCTAGGAACCAGAAGTGATGAACATTTATTGCATTTATATGTGTTATACATTAGTTTTCATCAGTATGAATATAATTTTTACTTAAAAATTTCCTTTGGGCTGGGGATGTGCCTCAAGCGGTAGCATGCTGGCCTGGCATGTGTGCGGCCCAGGTTTGATTCTCAGCACTACATATAAACAAAGATGTTGTGTCTGCCAAATACTAAAAAATAAATATTAAAATTCTCTCTCTCTCACTCTTTAAAAAAAAAAATTTCCTTTAAAGTGAGAAGTTTTACCAGAAGTAAAAGAAATAAGAAGCTTAAAGTATATAGTCTATTCTTATTTAATTTACCAGTAAGTGTATTCACTTATTGATAAATTCACTAATTTATTTATGTAAATAAATCATTATTATTTATGGTCTTTATTCCACTTAGTATAATTTTGTGTGTCTGTGAGTGGTGCTGGGTATTGAACACGGGGCCTCACACTCACTAGGCAAGCACTCCACCATTGTTGTATCCCTAACCCTTCATACATTTCTTTACAGAAATATTAATATATTTCATAACCACTTAGTATATTACAAAGTATATAGTATATGTATTCTATGCCAAAGAATACCAATTTTTTCTAAATTGCAAAAAAAAAAAATCTCACTTCCAAAACACATGTGGTCTCCAAAGTTTTGGATAAGAGATTGTGGGTCTGAAATACTTAACCTTAAGAGATTTGTTTTGCAGATCCAATGAGATTATCAATGTAAAGTGCCTAGTATAAAATAAATACTCATTAAATGATGTTGCTATTACTATTATTTTATTATCCTACCCTTAAAAGTGTGGGAAAAAAGACCTTTCTGACAATAGTTAAATAATTTAACCTAATATAAATAATGATAAGCACTCTTCAAATTTTATCACCCTAAGAGAAGCTTTGGCAATATGCTGATAATAGGTACTTGAGTATCTCCTAATATTTATCCAGAGTTGGAAGGGTTTCCCACATCAGAAGATAAAACATGTCATGCCATGTTGAACTACATTTCATGTAAATAAAATATATCCACTTCTAGTGTTCTCTTATTCATCAAAGAAATATTAATATATCTATCTGCTAAACATTCCCTCAGCTCTCTCTGCCACAAACACCACATAAATAAGAACTAAATCTCCCTTGTGATCAAGGGTCCTTAACCCTCCTTGTGTAACCTCGGCTATCATAAGAATTTGAACATAACAGAATAAATAAAATTTGTATTCTATAAATAAGGGTATTCTTAGCCTAATGAATGTGAATTGATTCCAGATAGCCTGGTCTTTATAGAATTTATTCATTTAAAATATAAAATTTAATTCTTTTATTATAAAAAAATACATAAGATTTCTAGAAACTGGAAAATGTGGTTTTTAAAGAAGGAAATAAAATTATCCCCAATCTTATAACTATTGATATTCATTCTTAGTTTTTATTTACTTTCATAACTATCTATTGTGTTAAACAGTAAGCCTTAGGCAGAAAGCAGGTCCATTCATTCCTGTTCTCTATCCTCACCTCTTCACAGTAGCAAGCATAGTAACATGTTTTAAAAATACAAACATTTACAAACTTAGAAATCAAACTGTATTCACATTTTTTTATTTTTTGTTGTTTCTGTCTGTGTGTGTGTGTGTGTGTGTGTGTATTTTTTCAGGATTACTTTTTGTTACTACTACATCATGAGCATCAGATGTATTTGATCTGACAAAAAACAGATTTGTACATCCACTCCTTTTTGCTTCTGAGACTTGTTTCTCCGAGGCCTCTCTGCCTTCTCTGTTTTCCCCACTATTCCCCAGTCATAATTTCCCCTCTTATTTCCTATTAGCTTGTGTACCTGCCCTCTACTAGCTGCTCCCATAAGGTATAGTAAACCCTCACCATCATGTGAACTTTTAGATAACCTGACTGGCAGTTGGCTCCCATGCTCCACTTCGTTGGGGTGAGCTCAAATTGTACAGAAAGAAGCAGGAAAAGGAAGGGAAAGAAAATCCCAACAGGCAAGGTAATAGCAACAACTCCACTTTGGTAAACAGGGATGTGGAAGCTGGTCCTTGAGTCCTCAGTATGCTTTCCAATCTCATACAATCAGTAATCAAACTGGGTCCCAACTAATGGAAATTCCTAATGTTATTGTGCTTCTCTGGCCATCTCAGGCAATGGTTAAAAAACAGACCCATTGATATTTTAGCCAAAGTAAACAAATGACTATCAAGAGATACTTAATTTCATATCATGAGCTGGACCCTAGGAATTGGTCTTATATATCAAATTTTTGGACCTCGTTTACTATGTTATGTCAGGCTTTTTTCTGTTCTTTTTACAAAATTCAAATGATAGATAATATTCCTCTCCCAAATAATATGCTTTACTTGAGCTGTTCATTTCTTTACCTAGGAATAAGTATCATCCACAATGGGAATTATTATTATTATTATTATTATTTGAGAGAGAATTTTTAATATTTATTTTTCAGTTTTCGGTGGACACAACATCTTTATTTTTTTATTTTTATGTGGTGATGAGGGTCAAACCCAGCGCGCTAGGCGCATGTCAGGTGAGCCAGCGCGTTAATGCTTGAGCCACACCCCCAGTCCTTATTTTTTTTTTTTTTAAGAGAGAGAGAAAGAATCTTTTTTGTTGATGGACACAATACAATGCCTTTATTTTTTTTTTTTTAATATAGTGCTGAGAATGGAACCCGAGTCCCGCCCGTGCTAGGCGAGCACTCTACCGCTGAGCCACAACCCAGCCCCCACAGTGGGAATTCTAATAGATAAATAGTGACTGCCTAAAGTACAAGATTGAGAACGGAACCATGTCCTGGCTTAGTCGGTCAGTGTGTGGTGATCCTCTGTTGAAGTCTGCCATTGGTAAAGAAAGTTGAAGGGAAAAATATGTACCAGGTACCCCTCCTGAGGATCTTACATTTTTCCCACTCACCTTTGATTTACGACCTTCTACTTATGCTGAATTAGTTCATAGGTGATCTCACAGTCTTGTATCTTTAGCCCTTATCCTGCATTATGTTGTTCCAGACATAGGTGGGATCCCTTTCCTTTACACACACACACACACACACACACACACACACACACACGGCCCCCAGCCATTTGTATTTCAATCATTATTAAAAGACTGGTCATAGAGAGGTTACTCTGATATAAACCAGAGACATTAAGACTTAATGTCTGACTTAATATCTTAAAGACTTAAGACATTATAGTCTTAAAAAGTTCAGCTAAGGGGCTGGGATTGTGGCTCAGTGTTGGAGCGCTTGCCTCGCACATGTGAGGCACTGGGTTCGATCCTTAGTACCACATAAAAATAAATAAATGTATTGTGTTCATCTACAACTAAAAATATATATTTTTTAAAAAGATCAGCTAAAATGAACCCTGTGATGTTGAATCAGAATCCAGTGCATTAGTATGAACTCGTTTTTAATATGTAAACACGGTAGATGCAGAAATATAGATGTGTTAGTATACATACACATAGGTTAGTATACATGCATCTGTGTTCACCAAAAGAACCAAAAAGTAATAATTTACCAGTAGTGAAAAGCTCACCAGGCACTAAATTTTATTTCTAAATACCATTCTCCAATAAAAGGAACCAGGGTTTCTTAGAAGGTTGATTGGTCTGAGTGCCATGGCGCATGCCTGTAATCCTAGTGGCTCAGGAGGCTGAGACAGGAAGATCCTGAGTTCAAAGGCAGCCTTAGCAAAAGCGAGGTGCTAAGCAACTGAGTAAGACCCTGCCTCTAAATAAAATGCAAAATAGGGCTGAGGATGTGGCTCAGTGGAGTGTCCCAGAGTTCAATCCCCAGTATCCACCCCACAATAAAGAAGGGTGATTGGTCCCAACAGAGCCAGAAAAAAAAAAAAAAAAGTCTGAAACATCTTCTGAAGGAAAAAAATTATTTTTCTTCACGTGAATCTTTTCTAAGATACATGAAAATCAACATAAAGAAGCTCTGAATGGCCAAAACTGGAACAATTTTAGCAAAAAAATAATGATCATATTGATTTATAATACATATAGCAAAATACATATCCCTAATATCCCTCATATAGTTTAAATAAATAACTGGCTAAATAAATAAGTGGGGTAGGGGATTCTCTTCCTTAAAGTAGAATTATAATTCTACGCTAGATTGATAGAAATAGAAAGTCATCATTAAGCAAATAACAATGATAATTGCTCCAGATATGATATATTGATGGATGCAAAAATTAGTGAACAAAAATTTGAGAAGAAACATACTTTGTATAGTCTCAGATTATCTCCAACTGCCACCTTTGGAGATCAAATGTAACTATGGTTTGGGTTTAAATAATATTTGTTTTTCTCTCTTACACTCCCAAGTTTGTAAAAGTTCCTATAATCCTATTTCTTTGTTTTCTTTAAATGATGACTATGGGCATTAACTCTGAATCTGGACATGTCTAAAATTATCTTCACTTTATTCTTTTTCTTTGAAAATATTGTTAGAATGCCTTTTAAAACCTTCATTCCTTTGTTAATAATCTGGTTTTTGTTTTATTTTGTTTTATAAATAGTAGGATTTTACCCTTCATCTTAGTTTTCTAAAATTTTACCTGCCAGTGCCTAGTTATGATCTGGGGTTTTTGAATATGTATTTCTATTTAAATTTGTTTTTCTAGGTAGCATTCATAGGCCCTTTGGAAGTCTTTTTATTGACAAAGAGGTATTTTATTCTGTTATTTTAATATTTCCTCTGGCCTACTCCCACCATTCTCTCCTTCTAGAACTCTTAGATTTTCCTAATAGTTGGTAATTCTTGGTTGTGTCCTTAATGTTTGCATTTCCCTTACCTGCTCAGCTTCCTATTTGTTTGTGAATGCTTATCTATGTGTTTTGTTTTTCTTCCTGTGGTTACAGACAGAGTTGCTCAGTAGTACACCTGGACATGGGAACTCTTGCTTCCTTTGCGGGTACACAAATCTCTTGGGTATTTCCCTGCTTTTAGTATCTAGGTGTTACCATTCACTGAAATTGCTTTTGCAGTTTACTCCATAGCACAGTAGGAAAATAAAAGAGAAGAACTGCCTAAATATAAAAGAAAAATCACACTGAGTGTTGATTTGAGATTTCCTTCTGGTCCCCATATCCATTT